GTATCTACCCAAAGGAAAAGAAGTCATTGTATCAAATAGACACATGTACTCATATGTTTATTGCAGCACAATTCATAATTACACAAAGATACGGAATCAGCCTAAGTGCCCATCAAGTGAAGAGTGGATAAAGAAAATGGGACACATACACACACACACACACACACACACACACACACACACACACACATACATACATACACACCATGGAATACTACTCAGCCATAAAAAAGGATGAAATAATGTCTTTTGCAGTAACTTGCATGCAACGGGAGGCCATTATCCTAAGTGAAATATCCCAGGAATGGAAAAACATGCTGCATGTTCTCACTTGTAAGTGGAAGCTGAAGAGTAGATACGCATGGTCATACAGAGAGGTATAATAGACATTGGAAACATGGGAGGGGGGAGTTTAGGAGGAAGATGAGGGAAGAAAAATTACCTACTGGGTACAGCGTACGCTATTCTGATGATGGGTACGCTAAAAGCCCTGACCTCACCACTATACCATTCATTCATGTAACATAAAGACATTTTTACCCCCTAAATCTATTGAAATAAATAAATACAAAATTTTTAACGTAAAAAAAACTGGGTAAATGAAATGGATAGGTAAAATTCAAACTAATTCTGGAAATTATTTTTGAAACTATATATTTTTCAAAATCTGTTAAAAAATAATGGGATAAATAACTAAATTAGTGTGACACTGACACAGAGTAGACTTACAGATAAGTGGAACAAACTAGATAACTTAAAAACAGACCCAGTGTAAATAAGATAAAGTAAGCATTTCAAACTTGGGATAATTCAAATTGTTAGTAGGACAATTTGTTAACCATTTGGGGAGGAAAAATGAAGTTAGATACTTACCTTGTACCAGATGCTAAAAAGCACTAAGAAAATGTTAATATTTTTGTACTCTGAGATTGAGAAGGGCCTTTCAAAGAATAATACTAAAGGCGGAAACCATAAAGAAAAGGATTGACAAGTTTGGCCACAAAAATTTTTTAAACTTTTGCAAGTTAAAAAAATAAAAGAAAGAAAGAAAGCTTAAAGACAGAAAACTGAATAAATTACTTGAAATAAATAAATATGAAAGACAAAGGCTTAATGTCCTTAATGTTTAAAATGTTCTTACAAATTGATGAGATAAACACAGGTATCGCAATTAGAAATATGGGCAAAAGCCCTAAACAGTAAGTTCATGAAAGATTGCAAATAGCCAACAAACATGTAAAAAAAAAAAACAAAAATCATCTTCCATAATCACGAAAATACATGTTAAAAACAATAAGATGCCATTCTCACTAGATTAACAAAAATTAAGAATAATAATACTGCCCAATGGCGGTGAGATTGGAAGGGGTGTGTGTGGTCATTCTCACATAACCAGTATAACCTTTCTGGAGAGCAATTTTACAAAATGTGTCAAAAGCACAACCCATCAAGTCAGAAATTTTACTTCTAGCATTTTGTTTCAAGAAAATAACAAGGCAGGTATGCCAAGGTGAATATACAATGAAGTTTATTGTACCACTACTTACAATGCTGCTTCTCATGAGAGGAACTAGAGCCTAGTGAATAAGATTCAGACTGGGGAAAGACCTTAGGCAAATAATTCAATCTCTTTATGCCTTAGTTTTTTCATCTATAAAATGGAAATAGTAATATCCACTTCATAGGACTGTTGTGCAGGTTAACATGCTTATAAACAGTTCCTAGCACGTAGGAAAACCTGTTTCATTGTTCGCTGTTTCCACTGTGATTAACAGTGGACAACCCAAATAATCTAAATATCCAACCATAAAATATTGGTTAAATAAATTATGATTTAGC